AAAGGATTTGTTCTTTCACTTTATAAAAAAGTATGTTAAACACAATTTTTTAAATTTGATATATTAAATTGCATGGAAAATATTGTCAAAGAAGAAGTAATACTTTTCCTTCCCTAGGTTGTATATGTATGGGTAAATGTTATTAATATAGATATATTAGAAATTGCATGCATAGAAATTTGCCAGTACCCTTTTTGTCCATGATATGTCCTGAAAGAATGTTATAAGTTATGGTTCTAATTATTTAAACATAATATGTCATAGCAATAACCAAATTCCTTCATCAGTTTTATCATTTTTATAATGAACACCCTTCAGATCTTTAACTATGGACATTTTAAGTCTTCTATTGTCCACAGATAGTTTTTGTTTTACTCTTTTCCTGAAATCTCTTGCAGTCAGCTACAGGAAGAGTGTATTGTCTCCAACAAAAAGTGGCTATTTCAGAGACCCATGGAAAGGACTTTAACAAATTCTTTGGGATATAGGCTTCTGAAGGCATTATTGATTAAATAACTTTGAGACCATACCACTAGACTGAGTAAGAATTTCCAGAGCTAATGGAAAAGCTGACTGGTTCATAAAACTGCTAACTGAAGATAAAGAAAAACAAGAATCATTTACATTTAAAAAAAATGCTATAAAAATATTTAGTAAAACAGAATAGAGAATTCGGAAATAGATTTCAGGATATAAGATTGCTTAATATAGTTGTTGGTTTAGTGAACTAAGAAAAGTATGTGGGTTTTTTGTTTGTTGTTTTAATGATGCTAGATAAAAAGGAATCACTTACATGGGACTAAATGGACTAATGAAGAATGATTATAATTTTTATGGTTATTGTTCTAAAAGATTGCTGGTTCCATAATGATTTATTTAAGGAACCCCTGTTCTCTTTTCCCAGGCCGTCTAAAAATCATGACAGTTTTGTAGATTATACTTTAATAAACAGAAATGAAACATTATTTTTCTCCTTATCTGAGCTCTCTAGAATTCAGAAACTTTGTTGAGTATTCTTATTTTCATGGCAATAAAATTATTTGTGTAAGTTCAATAAGAATCTGTCTTTCTTGTAACAGGACATAATTGGAAAAACTGGTTGTATAACCCAGGCTTTGGTTTGGAATGTTCTATTTGAGAATGATGTATAGAATTAGATATTATCAAATGGTTTTAAGGAACTAAGGTTGACTTTATGGAGCTAATGCTTACACAGTCCTTTTGGAAAAATCAGTCTGGTACCTGGTTTAAAGGGTTCCCAGTCTTAGAGATGAATAAGAAAGGTCACTTTTTGGCAAGCCCAGGAACCCTAGGATATATTGGGAAACTTGAGAAGAGAAGAATTCATCCAAATATATAGATATTACAGGCTAAATCTGGTGGTGAATTCTTGGCTTGTGTTTCTATCTCTGAGAATTTTTAAAAGTGTAATCTGAGATTCTTTATGAAAAATTCCAAGAAAGCAAACTCTAAAGACTTAAGTGGTCAATTACTATTCTTGCTGCATTTATGTAAATAATAAGCTAAATCTAGTAAGACCAGACTTATTTTGTAAACAAGAATAAAAAAGAGGCGGTGACTCTAGGGAGACATTTTATGTTTCAGTATAAAGCTATAGTGTACCCCGGTGGGTTATTAAATTCTAGTCCTATTCATTGTCATACACATTTTGTCAGTTCTAGCTCCCTCCAATATCTAGCTACAACTATCCAAAATATTTCCAATTTTTCTCCCTTCCTTCTGATTTCGCATCACTGAGAACTAAAATTGCCCTTTTCCTGAAGTCCTGCAAGCTGAAACTGGATGATCTGATAAAAACTTCAAAGAAATCACCACAACAGATCATGTATGGTTAACCTTTCTGCCAGCACCATGGGCGTTCAAACTGCAAAAGATGTTTTGAGCCCACATAAAGAAATCTTAACTGTTTGCCCTTTGGACTCATAAACTCAGTTTACAGTCAGCTCCATCCATTAATCTTTATTTTCCTTTTTATTTTCATAGAAATTCCCCTCACTAAATGCCCTGACTGCTCACACTACCTAGCAAATACTCTCTATTACCAAGTCTCAATTGATGGTAGACTTGATTCTTAAAGAACAAAAGGCAACCTAATGGACTTACATTGATCAAAGGAAAGGGGAATGTCTCTTCTTTCCTTGAGTAGATTGAGGGACAAAGACTGTCTCCTTAACTAAATTTTAGTGAGGTTCCCTTAAGCCCTTTTCTCAGCTAGGCCTCATCCTTGCCAGACTTGCATAGTCCAGTTTTAATAAGAATTGTTGAA